AAACCAGCAGGGAGTACTGGACAGCTGTTCCATCCTAGTTTGGAAGTCTTCAGCAGTACACACACATCCCACTGGGGTTCGAACGTGGGACCTTTCAGTTACAAGGCAAGCTCGTATACCATTCAGCCACTGAGACCTGAGTGAGGTCCATCCAGTCAGGTGTGGAGATGGATGTCCCACCGATGACATAGTTTGGTAGAGGTTAGAAATCATATGCCATTGAATCGGCTCCCAGTGGCTGAATGGTATACGAGCTTACTTTGTAACCGGGAGGTCCTGAGTTCGAACCTTGGTGGTGTGTGCGAACTGCCAACGATTCCCAAACTAGAGTGAAACAGCTGGCTGTCCAGTACTCCCTGGTTTTCAATGGTTCTCCAACTTATTTCAATCCATGGTCAAACTCATAAAAGACGCTATATGTATATATTTATAAGAACGTTTTACTACACAAAAACATAAGATAAAAATCACTAAATTAGCACGTTCAAAATTCCCTTTTCGTTTCAGATGAATGCTTCTAACATATTTTGCAACTTTACGTCATAGTGTCCTTCTTCTTTTTCCTTTTCTTCCTCTTCAGCAACAACAAACATCCATTCCTGTTTTCAACTGAGAGATGTACCATTTTATTATTCTTTTCAAAACTGTTTCAAAACTCAAATATTTTGATATTAAACAAACAAAAGTGTTTTTCTTAAAAGTCAATAACTGAAGTGCACTTGAAAGGCACTGTGTCATCAGACGCATATCGGCTTAAATTTCGTCACCACTAAGAGCCCCGTTTTCACAAATGATGAGATGATTAAACAAATCAAAGTAGTTTTTCCACTCTTTCCCCCTCTCCTTTTTCCTGAAGATTCACACAGAAACATTTTGAAAACAAACTACTTCAAATTAGCAGCATTGTAGTACTTAATAATCGTCAGCATGTCTAAGATTCACAGAAAATAATAGCGATACCATTTTTTCTGCCAAGAATCCCTGTTGTATATCAGGAAAATCTGTTGGAAAGCTTTGTTTCTTTACGAGAAAGTGAAGTGATAGTAAACTGTTGGATTTAGCTAGATGGCTTTCTGGAGAGGGCAAAGCATTATAAAAAGTTTGGAGGAAATCTGAGGAAGCGAAGCATTTATCTTCTCCCCTCGCCCCCAAGATCCCCCAGATTTCTCCGAAAAACCTCAACATTTCTCTAGATTTTGCCATATGGACTCTAAAATCGAATCGATAAAAACTAGAGAGCACTGAACGGTTCGTTTTTTCTTTCTAAATCTGTCATTCTTTAACAGTGTGAGGCTTTCGAAGTAGCTTATCCTAACTTCATATCACTCAAAACAATGATGTGTTGGAGAAGGTTGTTTCACTTGAAACTCCTGGGTGAAGTGTACATATTAGGCAGTAAAATGCGCTGAAAATTGTGCATTTTGTGTGAACTTATTATGCATAATAAACCTAATGTTATTATTATTAAATGAGATTGATTCAATAATGTCGGGAGTCTATTGTTCAAAAGAATCTTTAAGTCATTATAAGCATAAAATACAACACCAAACTCAAAATATCAGATAATAATAATAATTTGCTTTATTCCAAAACAGTACTTGTGATACAGAATGGAATTCTCAGCATTTTTACTACAGTATTGCATCCGGTTAGTACATTATCAATTAATAAAATTCTACATAGATAAAGGAAATCTCAGTTCATTATGACAACAACAACACATTGGCATGTCAGTAGCAAAGCCAAAGTTGAACAGTGTTTCAAGGTGTTAGAAAAGTAGGTGCTATCATATTTACTGGAGTAAGCGGAAGAAAGAAACAAAGCAGCACATAACGGAAAAAGAAGAGAGAGAGAAAAGGAAAAGAAAGAAAGAAAATGTTGTACCTAAAAATGATATGAGTTGGAAAGATGAGGTCCAGTTGTTCTACTGACTATTTAATAAGTTATAGGTATCATGCCTAATGCTTTCTTTATCGCACAGAACACGAGCTAAGTAGGGTATGGTTGAGTTTTTGTACTTGATGGTGCGAGCATATAGTTTTCTATAAAGGCTTCTGGTTTCGCCTGATGAGATGCAAGGGGAGAGTTGTGAGTGAAGAGGGTGGTGTGAGTTAGATGAAATGGATTTAGCCCATTTTTCACATGAGTCCATGTGCCTGTCGAACAGAATATTAACAAGCTGGTTAAGTGGCACGTTGCTTACCCTGCTGACAACCTTTAACATCCTGCGTAATATGTTATAGTCTTTCTTCAGTAGCCCGGGAAAAACTAAGGGGGGACAATAGAGAATAATAGGCAGAATGCGAGAGTTAACGAATTGTAGGAGTAAGGGTTGGGTTATACCAGAATGTCTTAACTTCTTGATGTAGAAGGTAAGATGGAATATTTTCTCAGAAATCGCCAAGATATGAGAAGACCAGGAGAGATCAGCAGATAGAATGATGCCTAGGTATTTAATTTCCGACTTGGTTTCTATTTCAGTGCCATCTATGTTGCATACCTCGTGAGAGCCAACCAGTTTGCTGAGACAGAATTTATGAATCTATAGATTCCACAGTAGGCCAGTGTAGCTGGTGTAGGGGTTGGTGTTTCAGTTGTCTTAGTCGAATTTCAGTAACCATTGCTGGTTGGAGGCTTTTAGCAGTTTATTTGATTTTCGACAGGTGATAAAGAAAGTCTCCTCAATTCTACTTTTGTGAGCTGTTTGAACAAATTGAACCAATCAATATAAAAGTGCTAATCGCTATTAAAAGTTACACTCAGGCTGTTCTTCACATCAGCATGTGTTGACTCACATTTACTTGGTGCTTTGAATTGAGTTTATGTATTCCTTACGAATATCTCACTAAGAGTTGGATTTAAACGAGTACACTTTGGGAGAAACTTGATTATTTAAGGATTTATTTTACAGAGCTTTATTAGGTTGCACGCTGTACATAATAGGGGGAATCTTTTAGATAATATTAATGTTACTCTCAATAAAAATACTATTGAAGTGCATCGGCCGGGGGTCGAATCCCGAACCATGTGCATGGTCGGCGAGCGTCCTAACCGCTGTGCCACCGATGTACACACACAAGTTAAATAATTTAAAATTAGATAATGCAGAAAAAATGGTTAGTTTTAACATGGTCAGTTTATATGCACGTACACTGATAATAAATATGACTATGGAGGCAATCAGAAACGAACTCATTTCTGACCAAGAACTCGAACATAGGATGAAAGTATCACTTGAGGACATAATGCTGGGAGTGCAGCTATGCCTGACTTCCACAGTATTTAAATTTCAAGGGAAAATATACAAACAAACTGAGGGAGTTACCATGGGTCATCAATATCCCATTTTGTGGCAGATATATTCATCGGGGTGGGGAAACATAACGATTGCAAAGTTCAGCCCTACTCTAAAAGTATGGTGAAGGTACGTAGATGATACATTCACTGTACTTAGAACACAGAATGGAGATAGATTTTAGAAGGTATTAACTCAAAGGTGGAAGCAATTCAATTCACTTATGAATGAGAAAATCAGGAAGGGGAGCTTCTAGTGTTAGATTGTAGAGTAAAAAGGAGAGAAGATGAAAAGTTAAACACTAGTGTTTACAGGAAACCCACACATTCAAACAGATATTTAAACTTTCGATCATCCCATCCTATGTCAGCGAAAATAGGATTGGTGAAATGTTTAAGTAATAAAGCACAAGGAAAATCTAAGATGGGATGGGAGGCATATAAGAGAAGCTTTGGAACCTAATAAATGTCCTAATAAATTATTCAGAAAATATGTTAGGAAATGTAAAAATAAAATAAATAATGATAGTAGTGATAGTGATGATAATAATAAAAATATTAATGACGACATGTTTGTCAGACATGCGCAAAATAATGACAGCACCAACAATAAGGAATCTAAATCATCAGTAGTAATTCCATACAAAGAAGGAAGCTCGAAAACCTTACGCAGAATCCTTAACAATGCAGGAATAAAAGTGGCTGGCGTTCAAACCCACAAACTCAATTAGAAACAAGATTGGTCGGCTAGAGGATCCTGTGGAGCTTTTAAACAAAACAATTTAGTTTATCTAATACCCTGCCTGCTATGATTGTCAGGTGAAATACATAGGTCAAACTAGTGGAACAGGAGCAGTCAAACTAGCCAAACCTAGCAAAATCTAGATTGGTTGATCCGAATAAGATAAGAAATCTAGAGAATAGTTCAGCTATACCGCTCACTACATGCAATTACACACAGCACAGCCATACAATAGGAGGATTGGATAAGATGATAGTTTTAAAATCTAATGTAGCAGAGTGGTGAGTAAGGCAGATTGATGGTAGAAGCTTTGTTTATCGAATCAACTGCAAACACGTGTAGTAAGAACGATTTAATACCTTTCCAGCTGGACATCTGGAAAATTCCACTACCCTACGACAAATAGGAGAGAAAAAGGAAAACTATAAAACTCAAGTTTCGAAGTCGTGTGATTACAATTGATGATACGATTATGAACAGCAATAAATTTTGTTCGAAACACTGTCATCTAGTGAATAATTCTGTTTCATCACTGTGTGATACATCGAATAAACATACTAATATGGAATTAGTTACTACCACAGTGCCCAAGTTTTACATATATACTAATAGTCATCGGCGAATATTTGTCCTCACATCCGTCCTGGTGGACCCCAATACTTACGAATTCTTACTACAGGCAGATCCCTCCTGTAACCAGTCCTTAGTGAGCATTTCATTATTATTATTATTATTGTTATTATTATTATTATTACTATTATTATTATTATTATTATTATTATTATTATTATAATTATTATTTCATTTCACTTTAATTAAATTGTAGGAGTCGCATTCTGATTGGTCATCTTCTCTACCAATCAAAAGTCAGGATTTTATACACATGTACATGGTTGTAACATAACTGTGGAGAATTTGGTTTTATTTCCCACATTTTTACAAAATGCATTATTTGAGACTATAAGTTGGGATTTATTTATTTATGTTTTTTTTTCAAAACAAGAACCAAACTCTCAGTGTAACTTTCATCAACAGGTTATTAAATAGTCAAGAACAATAAAACTTTAAAAAACATGTGAATTCAATTTACGCAAGAGGGAAATGAATTAATAAAATCATCAAAATGGATTACTTATCTCAGTTCACATGCTTAAATTTTGAATTTCTTTGTTTTGATGTATCAATGGATGCAAAATAATGCATGTACGCGCGCCTTCTAAATTCCATGATTATTATCATTATTGTGATTATTCCAGAATAAATCAAAATGATTTTATTATTTAGTTCATCAGTTTAATTTATGTAGATGATGCAGAAAGACAATTTAAGTTATGTAACATTTGTACCATTATATGGAATTTGGCATATTTATTTCACAGCAATTATACTCGGTGCAATTATAATTTGTACAGTTATTGGAAATATGTTTGTTGTTGTAGCAATTCTAACTGATAGACATTTACAAGTAAGTTGTCGATTTCTTAAAGTATCACATCATAATCAAGTGTATATATATACATATATATGCATGTTCGTTTATTCAGATAAATTGGGTTGTGGTGCCTGGTCTCTTATACTGGGTATTACCTATGATTGTTATTATTTTTCCCTTGAGTTCCAAGTGGAATATAAGGCTCGCTTCAACAACACCACATCTCCAATTCGTTCTGTTTTCTGCCGTCCTCTTCAGCTGGCTCCAAGATTGACCGAACCCTCTCACCTAGTCCTCGCACGATGTCCTCCATGTTAGCCTCGCACCAACTACCTACTCGTCGCTACCCATTAGGATTTCACTCGAGTGCGATGTCACTGGGTGGCCTCCTCAATGTATTCCCGATCCATCTCCACTTTCTCCTACATATTTGTTGAGCGATCGGTTCTTGCTTGTTGGTTTGTTCCCAGCCAGAGTTTCTTGTTGCTTATTCTTTCTGGCCACTTGATCTTCAGTATGGAGCCAGCCAGCGAAGGCAGCTGTTTATGAAAGTCTGCAACAAGCTATTGGAAATCCTTTTCGTGACACGCTGTGCCAGTTTCTGACCCGTATAGAAGCACTGACCAACTTGACATTAGTGTTGAAAATGCGAATCTTGTTCCTTATGCCGAGTGCAGAAGATTTCCCAATTGGTTTCAGGTTGATAAAAGCATGTCTCGCCTTTCCGATTCTGAATAACTTTGACACCTTCGTCCGTTCCGCCTGTAGTTGAAACGATGCTTCCTAGATAAGTGAAGGAGGCAACCCCTGTTAAATCCCTCCCATTGGTGGTAATTGGTGATAGTTGTTGTTATTGTCGGTGGTTGGTTATCTTATAGCCCCCGTCTTCTCTGTATACACCAGCAGTCCTGTTTTCGCTGCCTGCCTCTTCAGCCAGTTTGTAGGTTTTCGCCTGCCTGCAAGTCTTCGAATTTGTGTGACATTAGACATATATCATCTTTTAGAGTCCTCATATTGGTCCTCCAGCGTATTCTTGACTCCTCGCCCCCTACACACAGTCTGACGCATAATCCACTCCACCACAATTAAGAATATCATCGGTGATAATAGGCAGCCAGCTTGTCTTACTCCTGTATGCACTTTAAATGCCTCGCTGAGTTTCCCGTTGTGGATCACTTGACACGTGGCACTGTCATGTAGCTGTTGAATGGGGTTGACAAAGACTTGAGGTACGCTGTAGTGTTCAAGTAGTTTTCAAATTACTTCTCGGTCAACGCTGTCTTTCGAAGGCCTTTTCGAAGTCTATGAAGATGAGGTAGAGAGAGGTCTGACTGTTAGCCTATGCTTTGTTCGATGACGATGCGTAGAGTTGCAATTTGATCAGGCTGATTAGAATTCGAAAATATACTCTTACTCAAATTTGATTTAGTCGCCATTGTGTGAGCTGGGTGGCTTAATTGTGACACTTTCATTCTCTGTTTAGGTTATATCTTTAGTGATTAGTTTAGTGTGGAGTAAATGAGTGGGTGGTGAAGATGTTGTCCAAGAGGAATGGACACTAGAAGCTCCTGGAACAAAACCATCCACCTCAGATAACTCAAGAAGAGTAAAAATATCCAACTGGGTTTCAAAATCTTCTCCGTTACATCGAAAAGTTTTATTTTCATTCGAAAGTCTTGAAAGTTATGAAGTATTTGTTCTCCGGACAGAGACTGAACATATTTCCATTTCTCACTGTTGACTCTGTAGTTATACAAAAAAATAATAAGGTGGTAATAAAATTATTTAGGGAAGCCATGTTATGGTATACAAGTGAGTATAAAAATATTTTAGAACATCCTATCACACAGGTATTATTCCTTTGAACTGCAGAATGTTTTTCACATAGAAATACTCGTGTGACTCTTTGTTGACTCATTACACTACATCTGAAGTACAAGGTATAGTCTTGTTTTCACAGAGTGGGACTGCCAACCTCATGCCCAACTAACCTTCACTTCTTTGACTTTCTGTTGCCTAGTAAACTAAGTGAGATTTTAGGAGTTGAACTCCAGACCTTGTGACTCGTTAGCAAGTATTTCACCACTGAACTTATGACGCATTCTTCTTATTCCAATAGTCTAATCATATTAATGCTTGTACACAATCACTTAACCCAGAGTGTTGCTTTTTAAATCTCACTGACACGTGTATTCATTTAGTATCATAAATTTTAGGCGTTTTATCTATCCTGCTTCAATGAGATAATTTGACCGTGTTATAATTTCTGCTTAGAGTTCTGCTTAGAGTTGATCGATGTATGTATTTATTAGGCACTTTTATGAGTATGAGATGATCTCTTGTTCTCCATTTTGAATCAAATGTTGTCCGTTCGAATTTTTTTTCACCTCTTACACTGAGGTTTAGCTTGTAAGGTGATCGTCTCACTAGCCATTGAGCTAGGATAAGTTGAGTACTGGGGGAAGTTTAACTCCGTAACAGCTATTATCTTATAAGTTATAGGTAAGTAATAATTCCTGCATTCCCGATTGATAGCTGCCCCTTCATACACAATGACCTAACAAGTTACACTACCTGAAACTATTGTTCCTGCAGGTCCTACCATGTCAGGAAGGTTGTTAGGGTAGCGATTAGACTAAAAGCAGTTACCGGCATAGTGAATGAATTTTTGTACACTATGCTGGGGGTCGTGCGTTGGTGGCATGGCGGTTAGGATGCTCGTTGACCATGTACATGGTCCGGGGTTCGATCCCCGGCCGGCGCAATCCTTTACCTCGCTAAGCCAGAAATAATGCTGGTGAGGAGGAAACGTTGGGCATGAGACTAGCAACCCCATCCTGTAAAATTAAACACTGCTACAGAAACTTCAAGCCACTAGCTTGAAGCCCTATGTTCCACCGTGGAACGTGAAGGAAAAAAAATTTCTGAATCAGTGTTATCAGGGAAATACCTGATTCTAAATAGTTACCGAACAGAAAGAAGTGTATACGCTGGATTCTCTTAACATATACCAAAATGCCTACGTCTCATAGGGGTCAAATACTCTTAATAGCGCCATTGCCAGACAATTCATCAAGAGACGTTATGAGAAATCACGAATTCCTTTAAATATGTATCAATGGTCGAAATAGATGTATTCTCTTCAACTTTGCCGAAGCAATCACCATCGAAAAAGCTAAAACCCAATCAATGTGTTCAGAAAAAAGCAGTAATCAGTCTTTCCGTGCCTGGGTTCCTTAAGTGACCTTCGGCTTTAATCTCTATTCTCATTCATATGGCGTAATTTTCCTTGTCTCCTGTTTCTTTGATTTAACTTGAACGCGCCACATTTTTACTCAATAAATTAGTTACTGATCATCTTTTAATAACATCAACAGTGATAAAGTTTTATTCCAGACAATATGTGAACACATGGTACTGATATTTTTAGCATAATTAGTTTCAAAATATTTACTCTTCATAGAACATTTATATGTAAAGTGACATTCTGAAGTGTACCACGTGATGTGGTGTTGCTACATACGAAGATACAGCCAATTCTGCAAGTTTTCGCTTCATTTCTTCGAAGAATTCCGCGGCGTTTATAGTTGGAAGTTAATTAAATATGCGCGCTAGTTCATGTAGGTATCATCTGATATAATTACATGATTTAAACAATAAGAGGTGCTGAAGAGTTTAAGCATATTAGCGGATAGAAAGTCTAGTAGCACAGTGATTTAACCAGGCTGCCAATTTTTTATTGACTAAGCCATACATGACTAAATAACAAGATTTAACATGTCTGATTTAAACTCATACATGATAGTTTGAACACTCCTCAACAAGAGTAATACTCAACTCTTTTGCCATTGTATCCAAGACTTCATTTTTTGCTTAAACTTGAATATACTGGATATAAATTATGTATAATGTATGTTTAATACAGACCACTTTGTACTAGCCACTCACCTGACACCTTTTATAACCTTGAACTGACTTGGCGATTTTCCTGCCCCACACTCTACAAATCTATTATAATGACTATTTATTTTGACACCCGATAACTAATCTAAAAAAAAGAATGTATCCGCCGCATAACTGGCTGTCATTATTGTAACGACGACAATTATTATATTTTATAATTGTGAGAACCTGAAGAGAAAGATGAATCGAAAAGAATATTCTTCGTTCAGATTGACTTTTAATTCACTTGTATTGTTATTATTATTGCTACACATGTTATATTTATACATTTGGTTTCAACAAAGTTTCTGTGTGCTTCAATATTATCCTACCTAGATGCTTATAATTGTATTAGTTCTACTACATTAACTTCAGCTTATATGTCAACGTGTGCTTTAATGAATATTATTCACTTATTGACAACGTTGATAGTTTACCACTCACAATTCATACATCGTATATCTGTTCCGATTGATACGTATTTGGTTGTCACAATGTTCGTATGTTTCCGTGTGTTTAAACCTTAAAAAAGTGTATAAATAAGGGTGTTTGTAGAGTATTCAGCTGTGAAGGTGTCCTACCAGAAATCGCTAACACATTATATACTATATTATTTCATAGTTGTTGCTTGTTTTCAATTTTCTATAAGAACGAAATGTTTTCAAATTAGAATAACTCCATCAAATGATAGTGACAAGGACAGGTGGAAACACCATTTCTAAAACTCTATACTTATTATACAGATGGCCCTTGATGGTAAAGAAAAGAACATGGATTCGACACTAGTAAATAGTGTGATGTGTCTAGTCCTTTTTTCAGCGCAGACTGAATTCTATCAGTCAGATTTGCAATGTGGCTGCCATGCCACTAAGTGACTCGCCATCACGGTGCACCTTGACTTCATGATATTTGATGGTTGAAGGCAATCAGCAGGAAGCCCCCCCCCGCCCAACTAAGTTTCATGCCAGGTAGCACTCACCAGTCAGCCTGACGTATCTGCAGCCTTGAAGAAACTCATTCAAACTCGCGTCACCCAGTGAGCGCTGCAGTCAGAGACGTTACTACTGAGCTATTCTGGCTCGCGAATGACT